TATCTCTAAAATCATGTGATTTCAATGAATTCTTATTAAAAAATTAAAATATTTTATTTTTAAAGTATAAATTAAATAATTTTTTATCTTTTTTTTTTATATTTTAAAAAATATAATTTTTAGATCATTTTCTTCTTAATTTTTAAAAAATAAATGAGATAAGTACTAATCTTTTAAAAGAATTAACCATAGAAAAGAGATTTGGAAATGTTATACACGAATATGTTAACATATTAAAATTGTTAAAAAATATGTAATCCTACACATAATACGAGATTTCAACTTAAAACTAATTATAATAATAATAAGTTGAATCATTTATATTTTTTTAAACTACATATTTCTTCTTTTACTTTTAATATAAGAATCCTATCCAAAACGCCTCTTACATTTGAGATTGTGATTTAAGAATATATATTCGGCTCCTTTCTATAAAGAATATATTGCTTAATACCTATTTCTAGAATTCATAGTCTTACAAAAAGGAAAAAAATGATTCACGCCTAAACCAAACATACATTTGGAATTTTGGATTGTGAAATTAAATCAAAACTCTTGGAAAACTTTCATACTTGTGAAATAAAGAAAAAGGCGAGATGGAGAGAGTTGAAATTTGTTGAAATGCTCTGTTTCTAGGTGGTCCACTTTGAATGTTAATTACTAAGTAATTTCAGCACTAACAATTGCTGGAGTTTTGCCTCTTTTTTTTCTTCTTTATGCTTATGAAATTTCACGAAACCACATGGAGCTTTCATCCGATTATTTTAGTGAAATTTTGACCTCCATATAAAAATGCAAATGAGACCATTCAGCTAACGTAACGAAACAACATGGAACTTTCATCCGATTATTTTATTGAAATTTTGACCTCCATATAAATGCAAACAAGACCATTTAGATAAAGTAACGAAAGAAAGAAAATTTCACAATTATGAATTTTTTTTTTTTGTAATAACACAATTATGAAATATGAAAGGAAGAAATTAGATGGAAAAAATCAAAAGGAAGGTGACCACGTATCTTCTCTTTTTTGTCTTTTTTAGGATCAAGAATTGCAAGAAATGGGGCCAATCAATTTACTAGTAGCTGTCATCTCTTTATAAAACCAGAGAAACATAATCCCCCCTAAGCCATTTTAACTCCACCAAACAATTAAGCATACACACTTGTGTCTCTTTTCCTTCTTCATCTCAATCATGGCAGCCGATGCAGTTGTTTCGGCTGTGTTGGAAAAATTGACTTCAATTGCTCTAGATGAAATAGAGAAAGAGGTGAGACGAGTTATCAATGTTCGTAGAGAAGTGAACAAGCTCAGTAGCAATTTTCAAGCCATCAAAGCTGTTTTGGAGGATGCGGAGCGACAGCAACTGGAAAAGGGGAAGGCCAGTGTTCGAGATTGGTTGGACAAGCTCAAGGACGTCTCTTATGACATTGATAATGCATTGGATGAGTGGAGCACTACAATTCACAAGTCAGAACTTGAACCGAAGGTATGTTCCTTCGTCCCCTCTCCTTCCTATTGCTTTAATAGAGGGAAATTGCTTCTCAAAACTCCACACAAGATACAAGCTTTGAATGAGAGGCTAGATGTTATTGCAAATGAGAGAAAAAGGTATGGGTTTAAGGAAATAAATAGTGAAAAACCAAAACGAGATGAAACCACTCCTTTTGTAAATGTAGCAGAGGTGAAGGGTAGGGTTGAGGATAAGGAGAGGATAGTAAATATGTTGCTGAATGAGGGTAGAGTTGAAGAAATAGGATCAGAAATTCAGATGATTTCCATAGTAGGCATTGGAGGGATTGGGAAGACTACTCTTGCTAAATTAGCCTTTAATAATGAGGAAGTAAAGTCTCATTTTGAGCAGAAAATATGGGTGTGTGTTTCTGATACTTTTAATGAGATGAGGATTGCCAAAGATATTGTTAAATCTGTGATGGGTAATGCTGATAAAGATGTCATTGAGAAATTGCATAAATTGAATCATACTGCTGGAAAAATGGATAAATTGATGGATGCTATTGAAAAAATGGATAAATTGAAGGATGTACTGCAAAACCTTAAAACCTCAATTGAGGGTAAGAAATTCCTACTTGTCCTAGATGATGTGTGGACTGAACAGTATGGAAAGTGGGATCAACTGAAACTCTTGTTGAGTTATGGCTCCCAAGAAAGTAAGATCTTAGTGACCACTCGCAAGGAGAATGTAGCAAGAACTATGGGTTGTTCTATATTGTTCACACTGGGGCAATTATCTAAAGAAGAAGGTTGGTCATTGTTTAGTCAAATAGCATTTTTTGGGAGGTCTAATGATGATTGTAGAAATTTGGAAGAAATTGGTAGGAAAATTGCAAACAAGTGCAAAGGCTTGCCACTGGCTTTGAAGACATTAGGTGGCCTTATGCGCTTAAAACAAAACATAATAGGATGGCAAAGTGTGTTAGAAAGTCAACTATGGGAACTTGAAGAGGCTGAGGAAGGTCTTTTCCACCCCCTAATGTTTAGTTATTTTGATTTACCACCACACTTGAGGCAGTGTTTCTCATATTGTGCAATCTTTCCAAAAGACTATGTGATAGAGAAAAAAATGTTAATCGAGTTATGGATGGCACAAGGTTTCCTCAAGGGGACTCAAGATATGGAGATGGTAGGGGAAAACAACTTCAATGACCTGTCGATGCGCTTCTTTTTTCAAGATTTTGAAATGGATGAAAATGGTGGCATTATCAAGTGCAAAATGCATGACATGGTGCATGATTTTGCTATATTTCTGACTAGAGGTGAGTGTTTGACAATGGGAAGTAGTAGCAGCATTCAACATTCTAATGGCAGAACTCGTCATTTTTTTTGGATGATGCAAACAGAAAAGACTACTGCAATTCAGACTTACATTGAAAACTTGCACACTTTGCTTATTGAGTCATATGGAAGAAATCCTATTTCTCATATTGAATTATTGAAATTGTTTGATAAGCTTAAATGTCTCAGGATATTGAAATGTTCAGATTCTAGAATTAACAAGTGTCCAAAACAAATAGGCAAATTGATACATTTGAGGCATCTTGACTTGTCAAAAAATAGGGAGTTAAAGAAATTGCCTAAAGCAGTATGTGACTTGTATAATTTGCTTATACTAGACATAAGTGGATGTTACGGACTTAAAAGACTTCCTCATAGAATGGGAAATCTTATCAACTTGTTGCATCTTCGAAATGAGAGGATAGCTCTGAATTTCATGCCTAAAGGCTTGGAGAAATTGACTGGTTTGAAAACATTGAATGTGTTTGTGGTGACTCATAAAGGAGCTGCACTTAGTGATTTGGGGAACTTGAATCATCTTTGTGGGAGTCTTAGCATAGGAGGATTGGGAAGTGTCAAAGATAAGAGGGAAGTAGAAAAGGCGCAACTACAGAATAAGAAGGGGATTACTAATTTGACTCTAAAATTTGATCTCAATGGTTTGCCGGTGAGCCGAGCTAATGAATTGGAAACATTAGAATTTCCCTTGGGGAAATTGCCTTCTCTAGAATCACTCACGGTGGATGGTATGCGGAAAGTAAAAAAGGTGGGAGTTGAATTTTTGGGGATAGAAATGTCTTTGTCTACATCTTCATCATCCGTTGTTGCCTTCCCCAATTTGAAGACACTGAAGTTTGAT